CCAACAGCTACTCGATATAGGAACTCTCTTGTGGCCCCTTTTACTGACTATTCCTGACGGGAGTGTGTCGGGAGAGCGACGAAGAGCGAGCGAGCGACTGTGAGCGACTGCGGCGGAAGGGACTCGGGCTTGGGCAAGGGGGCGAGCCACGGGGCCCCACGACGACGACGACGACGAGGCTCTGCTCTCGCTCGACTCGGCTCGACTCGACTCTACTCTCCGGAGAGAAGATCCGAGACTTGGCTCAGCTCAGCTCAGGCACGCAGGCCCACCGCTGGTTGGTTGGCTGGCTGGCTGGCTGGGTTGGCTTGGCGCACAGAGAGCCCACCGGGCCACCCACCGCGACCATTCACCGGAACCGAGCCCCATCCAATCTCAGTGACTCTCATTCACCCGTGTACAGGCCCGCGACCTCGACAGCGAGCGCGAGAGGGGGTGTGGGGGAGAGGGGAAGGGGTATAGGGAGAAAACGAAAGACAAGGAACCTATCTGTGATTCGCGTTTTTTAACAAAATACGTTATATTATGAAATAATTGACGAAGGTTGCCTTATAAGAGTCGCATTCCAACTTACGTGTTCCATCTATATACATAAATATATTTTTTCCCAATGTAAATCTCAATTAACTTGGAATTTAAATTTAGAAAGATTCGACGTTTCGGTCTTTTTTTTGCCGGCCGATATATTCGAGGTCGGTGGAAGGAGGAAGACACATCGGCAGGATTTCGTTATAGGGAACGAGAAATTGAACGCCGCCGTGAAGAACCGCCCATCAATCTCACGGAAAGCGGGCGGGCACGCTCTCCTCGCACGCAGGAATTTCTAAGCATTTCCTCGAAGATTCGAGCCATCGCGCAGCCAGCCGGGGCGTGTCGCGAGGAACAAGGACCCCTAACGAGGCTGCGGCCACGTGGTTTTTACGTTTTCACATGCCATAAAGCTGTCCGCACTTGCGCGCCGGCCGGAGATGAATAGATCCAACTCCGATGAGGACCGCCGATCGATCTAGAATAAATAATTTGAATAATAACAGCGCCAAGGGTATTTTTCAACGTGGAGTGAGACGCTTACGTCATCTAAGGTGGCTCTTCGTTCTCCATTAGATGCTTTTGTCGTTGCGGGCTAGTCCTAGTAAATCTGCAAGTAAGCCAAGTAAATTTACATTTTGTCACAGCTCAGATAGTCCGCTATTATTAGTTTTCGTAATGTGTGAATTGGAATATTAAAAAAATGTAAATAAATTGAAATCATGAACGTTTATCAATATATCAATCAATATGAATAAATTGATTGTCAATGTCAATAGCAATATTATTTCGCGATAACAGAAAACTTTGGTCTTTGATACGTTTTAGGTATTGAAGTAAATCGAACGACGAAATTGTGTGTTACATGAGGATCTCTAAACGCAAATCATTGAAACTTAAGATAGATAACAGATATAATTGTTAGAAACTCCGGTGATACTGATTTAAACTGATTAGGCTTTTAAGCGCAAGACCGGGGCGAGATGAGAACGGGAAATCCCTCGTAATATAAATGGAGGGAACCAGCGTGCACCTGCTTCCCTCTCTCCGGGAGACAGAGGGCGGAACTTGAGCATGGGCTCTCTCGTTTTCCTCTTCCTGGAGAACCTTCGAATCTCGGGTTGAACGTAAACGTCAGTTCACTATCGGATATATCAATCGCTTCCCAGCGGTCGAATAGTGCAATCGTTATATTCCCGGCTTAATAGAGCTCTTTCCCCTTCACAATTGGAAGACGCGATCGTGATATCGCATTAACGTCGACGCGGCTGACCCCTCGGTTTGACCTTCGAGAACTCCCCGAAGAGAGAAAGAAAGAGGACGGGAGGACCCCCGGGATTCGCGTCGCGGAAGAGAGCTGGGAAGATCGGACGTCGTCGTCGTCGTGGAACGGATGCAACGTCCCCGCGCGAATCCACCCCCGTTCGCCGGGATGCTCGCGGGAAGTTCGCGGAAACAATAGAGGAGAGGAATGGTGAATGAGGCGCGCCGACAGAGCTGAAAGACGACGCGGCCATTCAAGGGTGCCCCGGAGCGAGCGGGACCGATGCGCGCGGAGAGATGCGAGAGCGCGCGACCGCAATCACGGTAGCCGGAAGGGTGCAGATAGACGGGACGGGGGGTGGGGGGTGCGTGAGGGGGCGCGAGAAAGCCGCTCGCTCCCGAGAGCTTGGACGAGACAGAGACGGAGAAATAATTACAGAGACGCCTCGTCGATAAATCAAGCCCGGTGCCCTCTTCCCGTCTCTTTCTTTCTTTCTCTCCTCCACCTCTCTCTCCCCCCTCGCGAGTGTATCCTGCCTGCTAGTCCCCCTCCGACCGTCCCCTCCGTCGGCGGTGCTGCCCTTTTTCACTATCTCTTTCCGTCTCTCTCTATCTCTCTCTTTTTGTCTCTCTTCCTCCACCTCTTTCCTCTCCTCCGCTTTCCACCGTTAAGCCACGTTTCTTGCTTCGTAGAGCAGAGAGTAGTGTCTTTATTACGCTCAGTGCCCGACCGCATTCTACAGGCCGACTCACAAACGCATAAGCTCACTGTTATCGTCGCGGCAATTACGTCATGCGAGTTTCTTAGCGACCGAAAAAAATGATCGGAATATTTGATGATGTCTATACAGAGAAATTGCTGCACAAGTTATGTTATTTTTGCTTTGTGCACATAGTCTCCTGCTTGTCGAATAAGGCTGAAAATGAAATTACGTTATTTTCTAAATAATTATCATTGACTTCAATAAAATTTGTAATACTTTACTCAAATTTGTCAAAGAAATTTTATAATTTCTTTTTAAAAAACTTTAAATTCTCAGACTATCTAAAATAGAGCTTGATAGAAAAATGATAAACCTTTTGCACTAAGTTATTATTTAGCAATTTTCGCAAGAAGAGTTAAACTGGAGATCTGCGTTTTTTAGCGTATTCATCACGTTTTTTTTATTGGGAAGGAGGAAGAATATTTGATCCCGGATGTAGAAGAAATGAAAGAAATTGTGTTTATATTTTGTTGCTACGAATGTTTTATTATTATTTATATATTTATGGTTGTAATTAATTTTTTATTTCTTGTTTATTATAAGTTTTCTTAAACAAGCTTTATTCAGCTATATTTTAATTAACAAATTAAATTGAACTGAATTTTAAAAGCATTAATTGAATACATTCGTGCGTTATGTTTAATTTCCTTAATTGATAGATAAAAATAAAAAACACTAATACACACACCAAAAATGGTATTGCATATATCGCCCATAAAATTACGGTGTTTCGTGCGGGGGCACGAGCTGTCCTTTTTCGCAAGTTAAACAGTTAATTTCTAAACTTCATTGTCGGTTCATGCTTTCCTCAGATTGTAGGAAATAATTTCCGTTTCTTTATTCGCGTTTCGTTGTCCTTTCCGCGAGGCCGTTTGAGAACCACTTTCGCGCGGCGAGCAATACGGGTGGTCCACGGCGACCGCGTCGTGGCGGAACGAGCAAATACGCCGTCGGCATTTTTGACGGTGAAATCTGACTAGGTGGGATACCAGGGTACCCCGCGCGCGCGCACAACGGCCATCATCCTCGTGTGCCCCTCGTCCATTACTACTGCTCGCCGTATATACGGTGTATGCTCCTTTAAATCGCAGCGCGTCGTCCTCCGCAAAGATACGGCTTTTGGGCTTCTTGTCGCTCCTTCAAATGGCTTAATAAAAAGCGAAGTGGATCCTCGCGCGAGATGCTCGTACGTGCGCACTTTCCAGGCGGAATAACTTGCCCTCCTTTTTTTTTCAAGATCTCTTTGAAATCTCTTCCGCGAGGTCTTCCTTTTTGGAGAGAACGATGGAGCGCGACCGCGATATCACGACGTCGCGTCGTACGAAAACACTTGGATGTTTCCTTTAGTCGAAGCCGCGACGCGTCTCTTCCACTCCGGAAGCCTTCTCTCAAAGCTTCTGGATTATATCGTCAAGAACAGAATTTCGACGAGCCCTCTGCGTCGAAAATAAATTGGATTCTTCTTTAACGCGCACCATTGCTACATTCCGTTGCTTTTCTGCTAGAACGTTTGAGCAAAACTCTGTAATCGGTTTATGTCCGTTTTTACCAATGCAGCTTAACTTTAATCTCGATTTAACTCTTTACCTTTCTCTAATTCCAAATGTTTGAGCAAAAGCCGTCTGTAATCCCTCTTATGTCCGTTTCTACCAATGCAAATTAACTTTAATTTCTAGATAAACTGATTTTTCATCTTTTTCTAGTTTCTAGATTTAGAGAAAGACAAAAAGTAAGTTAAACCGAGATCAAAGTTAGCTTACACTGATAAAAATGGGCGTTAGAAGGAAAAAATGAACCGCTAACGCCGGCAGGGACGGTCTTTGACCAACCGAGTTGCGAATCGTTCTCTCCCGCCCGCGTTTCGATCCGCTATTTTCATGTCCGTTTCTGGGAATGTTTTATTGGTAGACTGCCAGGAATTTTTGTCAGTACAAAGACGCGCGGAAACGTGTGTGTTACGACACTGTCTCGGCCAATGTTTCTCTTCGGGGAACTGTGCTGATCGCAAACACCGTCCGCCGGAAGGCTTACAAAGTCACCCATGTGTCTGAAAGAACACCTGAAACTCGCGACATCGTTCCCATGTTAATTTTCTCGTAAAAGTCCAATTTGAACGAGTATCACAATTCTACTAATCCTCGTCTAATAAGAAATTCGACGTAAAAATTATCGTATGTGTCAAAAATAACGATCTAAGAAAACTATTCATCCGTCGAATAACTGTACCATTCATTGAATATTTAAATGGAAGCAGGGGACAAAAAATACAGACGCAACATTAATAATTAAATAGTTTTTATCAATTTATATTGTACTCTTTCTTTAACGACAGCCACGGAATTATAATCTCGAATTATAATTATAATTAAAGAAACTCGTGTTAAGCATCTCGCGCAAGTGTTCTTGAAGCAGGTGAACTAATCGCTCGCTGACTTTTGTTTGCAGAAGGTGGAAGGTTAGAAAAGGAGCTTACTTACGCGTCGGAAGTACTCGGCGAGGCATCCGCTTCGACGCACCAGCTCGTCATCCAGACGCCGAGGCATTCCGGGGCGAATATCCTGCACCCGGCCGCGCTCAGGGAACACTTGGTAGTGCTGGAGGCTGCGATGAATATAGAGGTGCACCTGTTCGATATGTAAGTCCTATCCTCCGCTCGCTGCGCTTTCTCATTTGTATACGGAAAGGGAACGTCCGGCGTTTAATTCAAAAGCCGAATTAATTAGAGAGAGAGAGAGAGAGACTCGATCGCTTGGCGGCATAATTAATCCCCACGACGGAATCGTGGCGTTTATACGGGGTGACTTATTTACCGGTGATACAAATCGGGAGAAGAGGAAATATACATGAGAGAGAGAATAAATTGAAAATGCGGAATATATGCTTTCCTATAGTATTTTAGAATGTACAGTATCCTGATGTAGAAAGATATGATTTTTTACTTCGTAAATAACTTGTTCAGGGAAACAAATATTGTTAAAATAATTTATGTTAAAAATTATTTAACCTTAAAAATGATAGAAGATATTAATTTTTCGTTTTTTATTCTTAATTTTTTTTTGGAAGCAAAGCATCGTGTAAAAAAAGAATTTTTTTAAAAATACATTTTCTATTTTTTCACATAGGAATTTATCGCTCTCTCCATCTCATTAAATGTTTTAAGCATTGATGTAATTTAACTAATTATTATCGTTGCTTCGCAGACACGCCGATAAAATTATCAGCTTAATTCGCGCGATCGATCTTTCCGTCGATCGTCTCTACTTTAAGAATGAAATGACTCAAAGTCTCGTAGTCACGAATGCAATGTGTCATTTACAGCACGTGGAAGCTGAAGGACTTGTGTTACGCGCCGAGCATACCCAACTTCGACATGCACTACATCGACCAGGTAATACAGCTAGCATATATACGCACGTACACGCATCCGAGACGGATGCACACACGCGCGCACGTACAGCATGAATGGCGCGCGCGCGCGCGAGCACGTGTTTACGCACCGTCTCCCGGTCCCATTAGACCCCTAGTGAAGGCATCAATGCGCGCACGTGACACGTTCACGACGTGTCCGCGTAATAAGCTATCGATAACCGTCGTTAGCAAAATATAATCGCGTACGTCCGACATCGAAATTTTCGAGCGCAATAAAACGTTTCTTTTATATCAATTTACCATTTTACGTTATTATTTTATTAACAATTTGTGCCGTACAAATCGTATACTGAATTTGTTTATGTATTTAATTCTTCGATATTTTACTTAAATTTCTATCTTTTGTTGCTCGGTTATTTCCTTATAGGATATTATAGTCGAAAGATTAATTGACATGACGTATGTACGAATTATCGATAAGGAATCTTGTTTTTCTTTAGAGAAGTATCATAAGGAAAACATTTAAAATTTATAACGACTTCATTGATATCCGCATCGAAGAGAGATCGACGCGAACGTGTATGCGCGTTACATCACTTTGCGCGCGGCTAACGAGTGAGCGCGTTAGAGAAACGACGGTGGCTGTGGTATTTCTCAGGGGAAAAACGCGCGCACGTCTCGAGATCTCATCACGTACGCCAATCCTCGGCTTCCGGGACATTACAAACGTGTTTCGCGCGAGGGACTGCCTTTTTATGCGCCGTCGAAAACTTATGCATGGCCACGAATCTGGCTCTCTCTCTTCCTCTCTCCCCTTCGCTTTCTCTCTTAACATTACATAATACGTATACAATTCTATTATCGTTTAATTTTTATTAGAAACAGGAAGATCCAATTATCTTCTATTTGCGCTACAAGACGTTTTGGTATCCGAGATTTAAGGAAATGTTCGATAGTTTGCTATTTTTGCTAGCACTCTCAACAATAGCTAGAAATAAGGGGGGAGGGGGCGAAAAAGGTTTTCTCCGTATAGAGCGGCGAACAAAATCCGATCCGACTAATGTCCGACTCCGGACATTAACGATCGTCATACGGGTTTTCTGGGTACTAGGCCATTACCGAGGGCCCACCTCGGGGTTCCAGGAAACTCGAATAGGGCGGTCCGCGCACCACGTTCTTTCGTAAGCCTCGCGCGCCTTGCATCCGACGGCGGGATAAGATCATCTTAGATTACACCCTGTACAAAATATCTAAGTGCTGCTCAAACAGATCTCGGCGCATGTCGCCGTCGCGTTTTCCCGAATGACACTTGAAAAGCGGTCTCGCCAAACTCGTGATTTGCATTCGTTAACATAGGCTCTCGCGCCGCTCGTCACTCGTGAGCTAACATTCGTCCACTTAACTCGCTTTCGATTTCCGGAGCGTTATATCATACGATTTTACGATACGATGAAATTGCATTGAACTGAATTGAATCACAGTTTGAATCTGGCATCCCATAACTTGTTTGCGGATTATATTTCATGCGTGAACGCGCCTTGCTCTCGATCGCTTTTATATCCACTGTATAACTGAAACGGGTCAGCGCAAATCTCTCTATTTTAGAAATGGGAAATTTTTATTATTGCAAATAACAATAATGTATTGGAATGATAGTAATAATAAAATGCAAATAATAATCTGAGATTCAAACATAATTTTCATTTAAGCTTAAATATATTTAATCAAAATATTAAGTCTGTTTTCTATTTTCTGTTGCTGAACTGACTGCACTAGTTCAGAGTTTATCTTTTTTACTCCAAAATTGGGAGGAAAAAAATAAACTCTGAACTATCTAACCCTAATCAATTTAGCAATAGAAAACAAGCCCATAAATTCGCACAGTAAAGAGATTTACGCTAGGCAGTACCTATGCATCTTTTTGAAGATGCAAATTCTCCTATGCGTATGCAATCGTGTGCGGATGTGCACGCGCCATGTCGGTTGCATACACACGGGGCAAAGTTGCGAAGGGCTCGGGACAAGAGAACGAGCAATTAGCGTTGAATAATGACGCCGGCGTCCCGCTGCGGTATGCGGCATCATGTTAGGTGTGGCTCGAGCCGTTTCACGCCAAAACGATCACTTTTCGGAGCGGAGGAAGTAATCCCTCCGAATTTTAATCATCATGGAATCTGTTACAGTACCAGGAAATTCCAAGATCGGCGTTTTAAGCGTTTAGATAATTAATGATGATATCCAAGCGTACTATTTCATTAGTGACATTAAAACGTATTCGTTTGCTAGCGAGAAGATGTGTGCTTATTAATTTTTTTTTTATTTGCAGATCTTCGACAGTATTATTCCTTGCGCCATTATCACCCCACTCGATTGTTTCTGGGAGGGTAGTAAACTCTTGGGTCCGGAGTTTCCTGTTCACATACCGTAAGTATTGTCAACTTTTCCGCGATTTATTAATGATAGACGACAAAGAAGTGTTTTAGCAACAAACTTTCATATTCTCTAAATTTGTCTAATATTAATGCATCGAAGTTTAAATGTGCCAATTTAATTAAATATATAAATTGATCTTGCATTAATTTGTTTATGTATTTATAATTTCCGTTAATTTTAACGATAAATTTTAATCTCGTGGATCGTTGTCATGGATCTGTTTGTTCGATTTTCTACTACAAATTTTAATTGTTTGGACACAACAATAAATCAGTTACACCGACGAAACCATTTAGATTTCTTCTTTCGATTGAACAGTGGCGTGAAGAGCAACAGACGCGTCAAGTGGACGAATCTCAATCCCACCACGTTGTTGGACGAGATAAAGAACTTGATCGAGTCCAGCAAGTTTCCCTTTAAAACGCTCGAGGACTACATGAGGAGGGCCGGAATAACGAACGGCTATCAGAGCAAGCCCTGTCTGAATCCGGCGGATCCAGAATGCCCGGAAACCGCGCCTAACAAACAATCCCAAAAGGTAAAATCCTCTCACATATAGTCATTCGCGCTCGGCTCATTAAAATCGTCATTCTATTGAACCCTATAAAATCGCTAAGTAGGTAGATAGAATCGCTAGATAGAATTTATAATACAATTTGCGGCGCAAGAAGCATGATAACTAAGTACGTGCCTCGACTGGAAGATAGATTTCGGAAACGGGACGAGGGTGGGATAGGAATCCGCGATAGTTGCCGGTAATTCGACGAACGCGCACGCATCGTGTGCGTCGCGTTGAACGAAAAAGAAAAGGAGTAGACGCTGCGACAAGATAATATAAAGACTGTCACCGGCGAGACATTCGTCCGCGCGACTCGCGCCGGGAATAACAAGCGATCGCTTGAAATTCTCTACCGGATGCGATGGCCGGTTGTGCGCACGTACGTTATACGAGGACCGGTGGGCGCTTTGATGTCCGACCCGCGGAATGACGACGATGAATATTTAACCGCGCGTCACCGCGCGATTGAAATCGCCGAGTTTCCTTCGCGCGCATATGCTCGCGAAGGATTTTAATCGGGCGTCCGACGTTGCTCTCATTATGACGACGGCTTCAAAAGATAAAAAGAAGATAAAAAAAAATAAGTCGAACCGAGATTAAAGTTAATTAATTTACATTGGTAGAAGTGGACATTACAGTGAATAGTTTATGCTAATTTTTGCGATTTGTCATGGATCTATTTGTTTGATTTTCAATATGAATTTAAATTCCTTCGACAAATGCTAATGGACCGATTAAATCGATGGAGATAAATCGGCTCACGCCTGTATAGCCTTTAGGTATTCGGGAAACGAGAAGGCGACCGAAACTATAGTTGTCTCCGTTAATTAAAAGTCGTCTCGTTGTGACGTCGCGCTTAACACGAGATAAGAAGGGCGGATCGACGGGCGGGGTAGGTAGACGGTGGAGAGGGGGTGGCTCGGTGTCCGAATGAGAAAGGACGGATCCCTTGCGCGAAAACGGCCGATGAGTATGCGAGTCGCGTGGGCCGGCGTGGCGGCCCATTAAAATAATAAAATCGAGTGACGTGCGTCATTATTGCGCTACGCCGGTGGTCGCGGCGGCGGAGCATGCCCGGGCCCGGCCCGGCAGCGGTCCCACACACATACACGCGCGCACCGCGCATCGCATTACGCGGCCGTCATTTCGGTGTCATTAACATACGCGCGGCCCGGCGTGCTCTGACACGTGCACAACGTGAATCGCATCGCTACGCGCCCGTATGCGTATATTAGCATCGGCCAAGATCCCCTCCCTCCCTTCCTCTCTTTTTCTCTTTTCTCTCCCGTCCCTCTCTGGCTTCCTCTTGGTCTCCCTTTTCCCTTGTCCTTCTCTCTCTCTCTCTCTCTCTTTCTTTCCGCCTCCCTCCCTCGTTTTTTCTCGTTCTTTCTCTCTCGGGCACACACCTATTTCTATTTTCATAACGGGTATGCGCGCTCTCATACTTAAAGTAATTGCACTTAATGGCCACGCGGCGCGGCGCGGCCGCGCGGCATGCATGCGCTTCGGAATATTTCGAGTGTAGCTGCAGGCGGAGCACGTTGATCGGGTGTTTAAGTCAAGAACCCGGGATCGCGTGTTCCGCGTATGCACGGGGTGTCCCGAAAGAGTCGCGCTCAGCGATACCACACACACGCGCGTTTTTCCCTCCGCTAATTCAACGCTAATTAAGCGCTGTGTCGTTGACTCGCGATAGGACACACGTTCCATCTATTTGACCAAGATAAAAATAATAAATTTCTATTTCGTTCGTTGAGACAATTTTCCCGCGTGTCGCAAGCCCTAGAGCCCGATAAAACGTTAATGAACGTGCTCGTACCCCACGTCGAGCTATTTTTCTCTCGAACACGTACCAACGCCGGAAGACGGCCGCGAACGTGTCGCGAGCACGAGTAAAAAGCATGAAAAGCGTGCCAGCGGCTCGGCTACATTCTACACGTCTTCTTCGTGGAATTACATAACGCCGCGGCCAGGTGTGAGGTAACCGATTTCAATCACACGTGCGATCGCGGACGATTACGGTGGCTTTATTTGGTATGCCTTTCCTATGTACCTCTTCACTTACGTCTGTACACTTCCGCGATGCAACGGCACTTAATGACGCGCTTTCAATTCAATTAGGACGGCTGTCTAGTCATATTAACTTCGCCTGATTTAATTGATAGAAGAAAAAAATAAAATCTTACATGTATAAAGCGGCATGATGAAAATCACGCTCTTCGCATAACTCTTTTGATCTTCTACTTTTTATCTATCGCGACTGTTAAATATTAAAGGATGAAATTTAAACCGATATTTTGAGTTAAATAACATTTTGTTATTTTTAAATACCATGTGTGTCGAAATTTGTTATTTTAACACGAAACAGTATTATTTTTGCTCCATTGGTTTTTAGTTAAATTAAGATTGTTCTAATTAAATTAACGACATATTGAGAGTAGAAACAGTGACGACCTATGGAATGATTAAAAATGAGTATAATTTGATTACGAATTTTAACGGTGTAAATCTTACATTAAAATTCTTAGTTAGATCCGACTTAAGATTAATCGAGAGTTATGATTTTTTTATTTGTTCCTCTGGAGTTTCGATTTTCAAAGAAAGCCTTTCATTTTCGATCGTTTGTAATACAGGAGTCACGGGTGCCTCGATATTTTTTTTTTGTAAAGGAAAAATCGCGATTGAAATTGGTCAGAGTCCACAGGAGTCAAAAGGATGGGCGCGGCGTTTGTATTTCTATACGCGTGGAAAGAGGAAAGGAAAGTCTTGCTCGAGATACGTTCAGATACGGTAATAATTTCGTTGTCGAGATTCCTATTCTTCGTGCCGCGGTCGTGGTGGGCGCTCATCTGTTCTGGTATGATATAAAGGACAGTGGACAAGGCAGCTTGATCGTCTAAAAGTCACGGCCGGTATGCCCTTTTATAGGACCCTATAAAGTCAACTCGGTGTGGGGTCCACGACACCCCCGGCTACCCTATAAGAAAGAACGTCGCTCGAACCCCCTGTAATAATTCTTTGCCGTAGGAATTCCTGGCGTGACTTGACACGGTTCTGCCTTCGGTCACGCTTGAGAAATTCATAGATGAAAAACAAAATGTTGCGGAAGGGCTTGAGGTGGCGGAGCAGGAAAAGAAATGCGTCTCTATCTAGTCTCTTGCGCTTGAAACGCGGTTGTCATTTGATTAAAAAAAATTTCGGGGATTAATCTAATTTTTAATTGTCATCTTCGTCAATGTTAATTATTATCATTGTTGAAATCGAATTGACGAAAGCAATCGTTGCTCCATATAGAATTGAAAGAAATCCATTATTTTATATTTCTAGTTTTTGAATGGAGCTTTATCCTCATTTAAAAAATAACAAGGGTCATTTCAGAGCTTCTTTTTTTTCGTTTTTTTCTCGCGTAACTACGTTCCAAAATTGTATTTGTGCTCAGGGGAGCTTTCCATTTTACCAATTTCCCAAACGTCATTGCTTTCTGTAACAGGTACCTGATGTAGGAGCCGAACTGACAGGTGGCTGCTATGGATTCGCGGCCAAATACATGCACTGGCCGGAGGAGCTGGTGGTCGGCGGCGCCAAGCACAACAAGACGGGCCACTTAACTCGCGCGGCCGCGCTGCAGACTGTGGTGCAGCTGATGGGCGAGCGCGAGCTGTACGATTTCCTGGCGAACACCTACAGGGTCCATCATATCGATTGGACGCAGGAGAAGGCGGCTAAGGTTCTGGAGACCTGGCAGAGAGTGTTCAGCAATGAAGTGAAGAAGCTGGTGGAGGTCAACGGGTCGGCGCCGTACAATCTGTACGCTTTTAGCACGACAACCATGAATGACATCCTTGGGAAGTACAGCCATGTGTCCGTCACGAAGATCGCGATCAGTGCTGTGCTTATGGTGAGAAATAACTCTGTGATTGATTAATTTATGCACAATTGTTTGGAGTAATGCTATAAAGCTCGAAGATGCCAACACTAAATATTATTTATTTACGATCCATTTTACTTATTTATTTTATTGATGTAGTTTTGTCTTATTTTTTTAGTTGCTATATGCCGGTGTAGCCCTCTTTCGTTGGAAGGATCCGGTGCGTTCGCAATCCGGGGTGGGAATGGCCGGTGTGATGCTGATTTGCGCCACAATAGCCGCAGGATTGGGCTTCTGCGCGCTTCTAGGAATCCCGTTTAATGCCACCACGACGCAAATAGTGCCGTTTCTTGCCCTCGGTCTGGCTGTGCACGATATGTTCCTGCTGACGCATACGTATGCCGAATTATCGGTGAACGAAGTGCCCAGCAGCGAACAAACGGGAGTCGTTCTCAAGCGAACCGGCCTGTCGGTGCTACTGACAGGTCTCACCAACGTTGCTGCCTTTTTCGCAGCGGCGATAATTCCAATCCCAGCCCTTCGGACATTCTGTATGCAAGCCGGTATTTTGCTGGTGTTCAATCTGGCCGCCATGCTGCTGATATTTCCCGCGATGGTCAGCCTGGATTTGCGACGTAGACGTTCCGGTAGGAAGGACATCCTCTGCTGCTGCTTGCCGGCGACACCTAATCTTAGAAAAAATAGATACTCCGTGAAAAACAACGGCACGGTCAAGCAGACAGTCACCAGGGCAATACCGCCTGAGAGACGAGAAACCTGTACGCAGATTTTAACACCACAGAATACGCAGAACGAATCCTGGGTATGAAATGACGTACATGTATGCATACATATCGTATATATACTGGATTGCATTTTATTAGAGATTGAAAACATTTTATTAAATGTTTGATTACAACGATACTCGACAAGAATAAAAAAGGGCACGCTTTTACGTAAAGTAAAACAATATAAACAATAGCAATTGCTTTCCATGTATTTGCATCAAGTTCAAATTAACGCAGAATCATTTATAACTATCCTATTCGTGTTGCAGATAGGTGGAAATATCATCGACTCGGAGCTGGATAAACAGTGCACCGAGGAGGACGCGCTGACCGGCTGTTCGCAAGATGATTGTCTGAGCTTCTCCCTGACGCAGCTTGCATCTCGGCACTACGCACCCTTCATCAGTCGACCGGCTACCAAAGTGTTCGGCATGATAATCCTGACCGTCGTGCTGACTGGTAGCATATGGGAGGCGATACGTCTACGTGACGGTCTGGATCTGACCGATCTGGTGCCACAGAACTCGAACGAGCACGCATTCCTGTCTGCCCAGGCGAAGCATTTTGGCTTCTACAACATGTACGCGGTCACCGGCCGAGATTTTGAATATCCGAATAATCAACGATTGTTGTACGAGTATCACGACGCCTTTATGCGGATCAAGAACGTCATCAAGAACGACAATGGTGGTCTGCCCGAGTTCTGGCTTAGCTTGTTTCGCGACTGGCTAAAGGGCCTGCAGACGGCATTCGATAAGGAATACGACAACGGTTGCATTACCCAGGAGAGATGGTTTCCGAACGCGAGCGATGAGGCAATCTTGGCGTATAAACTACTTGTGCAGACGGGTTACGTAGACAATCCAATCGACAAGACGCTGATTACTCAGGTGCGACTGGTCGATTCGGACGGTATCATCAATCCACGCGCTTTCTACAACTACTTGAGCGCATGGGCATCCAACGATGCGCTTGCTTACGGTGCTTCACAGGCAAATCTGAGACCCGAGCCACGCCAGTGGATCTACGTTAATGATCATGAGCTCAAGATCCCTAAGAGCATGCCGCTTACGTATGGACAGATGCCGTTTTACTTGCACAGGCTCACAGATACGCAAGATATCACACAGTTGATCGGTAGTGTCCGGGAGCTGTGCAAAAAGTTTGAAGAACGCGGTTTGCCAAATTTCCCGTCCGGTATACTGTTTCTCTTCTGGGAACAATATATGGATCTGAGGAGCTCCATGGGTATCGCTCTCCTGGCTGCGTTAAGTGTGAGCCTCTTCGTCGTCGGACTGCTGCTACTGAATATATGGGCTGCCGTGTTGGTCAACATCTCTCTTCTCGGTGTTATCACGCAACTACTAGGCATTATGGGTCTGTTCGACATCAAATTGAGCGCGGTGCCTGCTGTACTGCTAGTAGTTAGTGTGGGCATAGCTGTTCATTTCACGGTGCATATCTGCCTGGTAAGTAATTTGAAAAACTTCTTTATTAGCATATTTCTAATTTAATCGTTTCACCTGCTGTTTCGGGCATATTGAATTTATGATGTCAAACATTTTTTTAAAGATTGAAAAAGATTGAAACGTTTTGGCTTTGTTACAATTGTTATTTCAATTGTTATATTGACATAGATCGTTATTGATATATTTATTCATCAACATTTCTACTTTGACTCTAATTGGTTTTCCTATTCTTTTTTCAGAGTTTTGTCACCAGTGTGGGCAGCAGAGATCGCAGGATGCGCTTAGCTCTGAAACACATGTTCGCTCCGGTTGTCCATAGTGCGCTCACCACGCTGCTCGCCGTGATCATGCTCGCCTTCTCAGAGTTCAATTTTATAGTCAATTATTTTTTCCTCGTATTACTCTGCGTGATCGGCATCAGTCTTGTGAATGGCGTCTTCTTCTTTCCTATTTTGCTGTCTCTAATTGGTCCGTCGGCAGAAGTGATTCCGAACGATCATCCGGATCGTATATCCACGCCAACGCCGCCGGCGTCGCCCGTCGTGAGGAGATCCAAGCCGCCCACACCGCCGAGGAGATCTCACAAAATCGACAATGCCCGGCTGCACGCCGAGCCGTCGCTCACGACTATCAGCGAGGAGCCCAACTCGTGGCACAGCACTCAGGAATCCTGTATTATTGTCCAGCCGGAACTCAAGGTGGAGACCACGTCCACATGTGGCAATCAGGTGCGTTGAGATTCGCGATCGATTGATTATTGATCAGCATGAGATATACTTTTTCCAATAAATTTGTCACGCTTCTCCGAGCATGACTAACGAGCGTGTTCTTTCATTTTGACTAACAGAACTGTAGCGGATCGGATACGAGTGGGTCTAGTCGAACATCGCCGATTCCGCCCACGTCACACATCACCACTAAAGTCACCGCAACGGCGAACATCAAGGTCGAAGTTCACACACCGTTGGCTGGTAAGCACATTCATTTTGATAAATTTTCAAACCTCCAAAATATTCCCTTAATGTTATTCGATACTTTAAACTAATTAGAAACACTTTTTGACTAACGCATGCGACTGTAATGATATATTGTTGGAAATATTCGCTTTCGAATTATTTCAATGCTTTTTTTTTGAGAGATTGTAAGTTTTGGTAATTTTCTTAATATTAATAGAATAAAATTATATTACTAAAACCTGTGCACATTGCAAGACTCAGATTCATAAATAAAAGTATGTGATGTACATCTTTCCTAATTTTCTGTGCTACTTTTATACTATATCTTTATATATTTAGTTACCATCTTGTAGCATTTTCTCAAATCAATGTGAGATGGATGGGGATGGTAAAAATATATGTTCATTTTCATGAAAATTATAGGTGGAATGGATCGTGAAAAATGCCGGCACTCGGGCAGCAGTAGTCGAAGGAGCTCGCGCTGCAGTGCGAACATTAATGCTGGGGAGTCTTCCAGTTCCAGTTCTGAGCCAGATTCAGACTCTAACCCAAAACATTAATAACAAGTACCGGGGGGACCGGCAGCTACTGCTCAAGTACCACGCAAGGCGGGAAAACACAGAAGGCTGACTAGGATAGATTAATAGATTTTCCATTATATCTTCCTGTTTTCCTCTTCTTTCCCTTCCCCCTCCCTCATCCTTACTTAACTCCTTATTCTTTTGTTCCACTATTTTCCTCTGTCTCAAATGAGTAATGCAACATGAGTTGTCTTTACTCGGATTTTAAAGCGGAAGCATTATAACACAAATCGCATTTTTATGTATATGAATATTTTTGGAAACAATTTTGTTGCGCATTTAATATCTTGTGTTCTGTACGCCGAATTTTTTTAAGTTTAAAATAGATTATTTCTCCGTAAAAACCAACATTATATTTACTTGGGATTTGATATTAGAAGCGGATATTTACATTTTATGTGTATATTAATGCGTGAATTATTACAAGGTTTTAAGTAAATTGTTAAAGTTCTTAATCAAAAGCAAATTTTAACCGAAATGATGTGAGAAAAATAGGATTCTATTCGAATATTTCAACAGTAATAGTATTCATCGAATATGTAATAGTATTACCAAGGACAATAATGTGTACAACTTGATAAATTAATGTATTAGATTATTTTAGGTAAATACTATCTAAAATATATATTTTAGATAAATTTATTTAATTAATGACTGCGGCGTCACAAGAGTAGTGTCATGTACTCTACTGGCAAGCACATAAGGACATTGTATGATATTATACTCTTCGAGAAAGAGAAATGACAATACATGCCGGTGTGCCTTTGTTTATCAGAGACTGACACTAATGCGTTTGTGTCGGTGAGCGTATTTGTAATATTTGCGTAATGCATAACGAGAAAAAGCATTTACTAAGATGTATATATACATATACTCGTTATTTAATTAGAAAGCTAAAGATTTTACCGTCACTAAGATGTGATGTTTTTAAATGTAATCGTGAAATTTTACGAGGACGACGCTTTATTGTGCGGCAACAAGCGACAAAATTTCCAGATATTACTATTTATTTTTTTCTACATTAATCATATGTAACGCGCAGTGTGTATGTATGTGACTAGGAGCGATACTACGATACTGAATCTCTGAGATCTATTTATTATTTATTTTAATAGTATTCCTCGGCGTTTCTGCGGGTGTGTGTGTGTGTGTGTGCGAGCGCAATATTTTGTACGCACAAACATATGATGACTTGTAAAAATAATTATTTATATCGGAATATACGAGAATATTTTCATTGCCTACGATAACAACGGTACTTAATTTAATGGAGTATATATTCCTATTCTGATATTCATACCTCTAATGTGTACAAAGTTGTAATATATAGTGACCAATATAACGCGGCGTAACTGCGGCACGCATTGTCATGAGATGTGACTCGTGAAATTATGTACAATATAAGCGAGAAGTATTCCTTATGCCAAGTCAATTTTGTATACATATGCGAGACTCGAGATGTGTATTTAAAGTGTACGAAAAGCGTCCTGCGAGACGGTATTTGCATTTTGTATAAAGTACATGTTGTATAAGTTCGGATGGGAAAAATAGTCAATATACCTCTAATATACGTATAAATTGTGTCCATGGCTCATTCTTTTGCAAACTTTATTGTAAGAATCTAATTATTTTTTATGTAACGAATGTGTAAAAGCTACTACTTGTACCATTTATAATCCCATTTTTTTGTAAATATAAATAACATTGTAATAAGAACATTATTATTTTTACTGCCGTTATTTGATCGGCAATCATAAATAAGATTAAGACACAAAATTAATTGTATTATTGTAAAGTCGAAAATTCAGAAATCAGATTATAAACATTTAAATTGCATTAAATTATATCAATCTCCCTTCGTACTAATCTCATGAAAAAGGTAGTTTATTATAGTCTTTTATATATTTATACAAAATTCGTAATGTACGTGGGGCTTTACCAATTTTAAAAAATTTTTATTTTTGACTTGAAACTTTTGTTAGTATTGCCACATATCTAATTGTATTTTCCCACTTTATTTATTTTTAAAATGGTTAATTTTTATGATTCGCGAATACCAACCATTTTAAAATCAGTAGTCGATAAAGTTACTCGTAACTTTATCGACCACCTTTATCCTGGCCGCCGAAACAGAAAAAGTGCCAAAAGTGGAAAAAGAGGACGAACACGTGGCACCGGTGGCACGTGGCACGTGAGCAGTCTCTGCAGTCTCACGATCGAACGTGTACTGGTATTACTTTATGCTACTTGTCAAGCTCGCTGTCGTATAACAACCGTATTGTATGATTTAAACTACAGTTTATTCAAATTAAATTAGTATAAAATAACAAGTGGAGGTTTCCTTGATCGACTCTGTGTAGAAGACGAATCTCTATGCTGGCACGGCATGACAATTTAGGGGGAGTGATGCGCCATCGTGAAGATAGATAAAAACCAACCAATCCAACCATTAGAGCAATCCAGAAGCCTGCAACATAAAGCGAATCGGTCTCAGGTAGTGCAGCAATCCTAAGAGGAGAAGCCAGGTCCAGAACGAAAGAAATACGATTAGCAGTAGCAGCCGACGAGTGGGTATCAGCGAAATCCGAGAAAGCACCGATTTATCGCAATGGTGATGGTGACTCGCTGATTAGCAGACAGAAATCAGCATACGATTCGCTACGTTATTGTAAGTTTTTAGCAATTAAGAAAAGCGCATAAACATTGTCGAAGAGCGAGATTAGTCGTCCCGTGAAAAGAAACGCGTCGTTACATAACGAACCGGTCCGACGAGCGTCTAGGCCTAACCTCCTAAGCCCTTTAAGCAGAAAAAGCGTACGTAGAAATCTAAAAGCGCATTATTCTAGCGAAAGCTCTCCGACCGAAACCAGAGTTACATCCGGATACAGTTGATTGAGCGCGTATTCCTGTTCGAGGGACACAGATACCAGTTCAATACAATAAGTTAATTGCTTTAATGAAAATAGACTACGCCCGATAGGAACTTAGGCATGATCGGAGAACTCAGGCTGAACGAACAGTAGAATCTCGCATATAAGAGAGTTGTCGCTAACATTTTACGATAACAACGTATTTCACCTGAAAGAATTCTACCACGTCACGTGAAGAGGCAATACTCTGTATGAAATTAAAAGGAAAAACAATGATCAACTTTGAAATTAGGGATATAGGAAGTTGTCCACAACTTTAAGCGAAGTTAGAAAGTTATTTAAGAAAACAAAGCACTATTCGTCTACAGATTGAATTTAATTCATTAAAGCAGAAACTTAGCGAGAGTGTACGCGCATACGGACTCAGAGTCGACCATTTACTAATAGAATAATACAAATTAGTGACAGAAAGCTAAAGGTACAGTAGCGAGCAGAAACGCGTCACTATCCAAAAACAGGTCGAAGTCTTTCGCACCAAGAAGAATAAAGAATTCGACACTGAATTCCAGGCTGAAATTAAAAATATCAGAATGTCACTTGGGTATTCGTGGCACAATAGATGTCGGACTCTTGAAATTATTAAACCACAACGTGAAATTCCTATTGATACGGATATCCTTGGTGATTTGTGTAAGTTAATCGCTGAAGTATTGCATGGCACATGCAACATTGCACCTGCGCACCTTGATCCAATTCTAAAAAAGGCTCTTGATAAAAAAGAATCCATTGAATATGACGCTGAAACACTTATGTGGGTGTCTGCCTTGCAAGTTGAAAGTAAGATGTTTGCAGCAAGACGCCATACTAATTTTCCCCCTAACTTGGATCGGGAAGTGTTTTCCCGTGTTGAGCGTACCAACACGCTCCTTTCAGATACTCTTTACCCATTGGCAGTAGTTCTTAATGAGATTGGTCAATTTACCGTTGAAGGCCAAATGTTTGTACCTCGCTATAATGGTGAGCGTGATTTTTCTTATCATAAGCTATTCAATGATCAAAATAAATCGCGCAGTCATTTCAAGAACTTGGTTACACCTCCTATATTACTTGGATCGTCTGAGACTTTTCCGACCTTTGAGGAAATCCGTAATCGATATGTTAAGCTGAAAGGTCGTATGTATGCAGCTAAGCTGTATAATGTGTTTCGTCCCGTTGAAATGTCAGAGAGAAGAGGCGGTAAATCTCAACTAGTTTACCGTCAGCGACAAGGCGATTCTGACGATTTCAAAGTTTGGTCTCCAAGACGTGTTGGATCCGATTCTTTAGAAATTGGTGCGATTTTAAGATTTGGATATCCAAATCCGCTTGGCGATATTAGTGTCGCTGCAGAGATGACTTTTACTAGTAATACATCTGTTGGTTTGTCGTTCTTGGTAGATGAGTTGATTTATAATAAGTTAGTCAGATAACTTTATCTTCCTGTGTGTGACGCGTTGATCCGAGAAATCATGATCGAAAATACGCAGTATGGGTTTTCTATTTATGTAACCGTCTACTACCGTCAGGTTTTCGAATTTAAGATCCGTTGTACGGATGCTCTCCAATCCTGCAACTCCTCGAGATGTCCGGCGATATTTTTACGATCGCTCACCACTTCCTGGTGCTAAGTGGGGTGGAGATCCAGCACCCCAAGCGCATGGGCGTAGATTAAGTGAGGGTGATCTTGCTGCACCAATTCGAGTAGACGTTGGTGATTTCCCGGTGCTGTTAAACCCTGATGACTTTATGCCACAGGAGTATTCACGCGACAACGATCTTCTCGCTGATGTCTCGGCCATTCAAAACCTTTTGCAGTGTATTGGACGGAAATATTCTAAGTACGTCTATTGTCATCGGATTGAATACAGAGGCATGGGTCAGGCATCGCTTCTGGTCAGCAACGGCACGGGAACCCTTCGTTGCCACGATCTTCCCCGAGTGCGCGACGATTCTATGGAAATAGACTTTGCCGCGAGGATGGGTTTAACTGGAGAGACCAGTCACTTTTGGACACCAGAGTGCTTGACAAATCCCGAATTCTATCTCGGAATTGCTCATCTTCTCGGTGAACAACCGCATAAGACATCTGATGCTTACGCGATTCGCTCATCTACAATTGCGAAGAAAACGGCTCGTATGCAGTATATAGCTGTCTTATGCAACTTAAACAACTCAATTATGTTTTAACAATTAAAGAATTCGACACTGAATTCCAGGCTGAAATTAAAAATATCAGAATGTCACTTAGGTATTCGTTGCCCAGTAAATGTTAGACTTCTGCAATTATTAAACATTAACGTGAAATTCCCATTGATACGGATATCCTTGGTGATTTGTGCAAGTTAGTCGCTAAAGTATTGCATTGCGCATCCAACATTGCACCTGCGCTTGATCCAATTCTAAAAAAGACTCTTGATAAAAAAAAATCCATTGAATATGACGTTGAAACACTTATGTGGGTGTCTGCAAGTTGAAAGTAAGATGTTTGCAGCAAGATGCAATACCAACTTTCCCTCTAATTTGGAAGTGTTTTCCCGTGTTAACCGTATCAAGTTTAACTTTCCAGATACTCTTTTCCTATTGGCCATTGGCAGTAGTTCTTAATTAGATTGGTTATTTTACCATTGAAGGACAAATGTTTGTACCTCGCTATAATGGTGAGCGTGATTTTTCCTTATCATGAGCTATTCAATTATCAAAATAAATCGCGCAGTCATTTCAAGAACTTGGTCACACCTCCTCTATATTACTTGGATCGGCTGAGACTTTTCCGACCTTTGATGATATCAGTGTTCGATATGTTAAACTGAAACCTTGTGTGTATGTAGCTAAGCTTCATCCCGTTGATATGTCAAAGGGAAGAGGCGGTGAATCTCTACTAGTTTGCCGTCAGCGAATAGGTGACAATTCTGACGATTTCGATGTTTGGTCTCCAAGACATGTTGGACCCGATTCTTTAGAAATGGGTGCGATTTTTTTATTTGGATACCTAAATCCGCTTGGCGATAAAAGTGATGATCGCTACAGAGATGATTTATACTAGTAATACAGCTGTTGGTTTATTGTATTTGGCCAATGAGTTGATTGCAGATCAGAGCTGACTCGGGTTTATAATAAGTTAGTCAGATAACTTTTTCTTCCTGTGTGATGCGTTGATCCGAGAAATCATGTTCGAAAATACGCAGTATAGGTTTTCTATCTATGTAACCGTCTAGTTGCACTACACTGTCCTATTCTCCCTACGACCCTTTGACCAGTAACCGTTGAAATGCTCATCAATGTAAAGATGTTTGCCCATTCGCGATAAATCTTTACGATGTATCTCGTTATCATTCTCCGACGACAAACTTTTACACACACCCTTCCGTGAGGTAGCGCATGAACCCGAGCAAAGGATTGATTGCAGTTGATGTATGATGAAGCGAAAACTTACGATAGACTAAACAAGCAAACGAAAAAAAAAAACGGGCGAGCCAAGATCACAGGATTCGAAGTAAGATAACTTGAATCCTTATCTGACAGAAAGCTCATCATCATTCAGTACTCTACAAAAGAAGCAGAATCTGACTATACCGTGTCCGTACCACGTACCGTATGAAGTATAGCAATTTAGCTACGAGCTAGAAATTTATTTTGAAAAAAATAGGGCGACTACAGCAAACGGAGACTAGCAATCCGAAATCGGCGTTCCAGCGATAGAGGTCAGATATCAACAACTCCAAGATTACCTAGATCAAACCAAGGAACTGCGCAAGAACCTTCGTGACACAGTAACAGCAGATGTGCCAGACTATCCTCCAGATAATATAAAAGGACAATGCCAAATTGACACTGCTATTAACACGTTTAAAAACTATATATAAAATAATGAATAACAAACGAGATCTAATCGACGCGATCGGCACAATAAGCAAATTACGAAAACTGTACATTTAATTATGCCGGATGTAACATTAAGAACAAAAAACAGATACTACATACATACAAATGCATTTATTAGACATAACACTCTGCTTAGATGGATCCGTTTTAATATTGTTTTGTGTCCACTAAATCTTTTAGTTTTTAGTTATCTTTGTACTACATATGAGGCATTACAGTCTTTACATAATATCTTATAAATTACGTTATTGTTTAAAATTACTGGATTTGTATCTTTATGTACCTTGACTCATTATATTCATTATAACCTTTTTCTTTTAAGATATACAATAAGGCTGTGAGAGATCTTTGGGTAATATTGTATTCTGTGTTGCCCATGTATTTTTTTCTTTTAAAATACTTTTTTCTTCGCTTCTAGTACTGTCTGTTAGAATAGAATCTTGTGCAGATTGTATAATATTGCCTTCTGATTGTATGTCTGTTATATTTGTTATATTAGGAGGTAATTCTATTATATTGAAATTATTATCTTCGTAAAGACATTTCATACAGGTAGAATCTTTTATATTATTAATGAGAAGATGTTCTTGGGATGTGATAATATTTTTATATTTTGTTTGAAACAAATGACAATTAATTTTGTTGCCTGCGAGATAAATCTTATTTTTGGCATTGTAATTTTCTTTTTTATGCACACTCTCGTTATGAAATTATATAAAATATTGCCATAAAATTGATGAAAGTACAAAAATTTAATACAATGAATATTACATTTATTTCGTACATATGATTTAAGACCCAAAATGCGAATACTTGGAATTTATGTAACCGTTCTCGCGAACATTATTGATATGTATGTAATTATATACTGCTATTGAACAATATATAACAAATGTTTTTCATCTCGTATATATTATTACTTTTAAAAGTTTTTAAAGATAGCTAGTTGGAAATTATTTCAGAATGTATATTACAATACTTTTATTTAAATATTAATACAATTCTAAAGAATAGACATTAAATATTGATTTAAACATTTAATCTAAATGTATAAAATTATTTGTCATGTTAAACGCTACTTTTAATTCTTATATTTTTTATACAAATAATACACATTATTCAATGTATACACATACATGATTCATAATACACATAATTCACATCGATTTAATTTTTTTAGCTGAACGATATTAAATTCGTTTTTTCTATGTCTCAATTTTATAATATGCTAATAAAAATATAATCAATTATGTTGATATATTGTCAATAAATGGAAACGACATTGAAAAAATATAATACTTTCGAAACGAACGATTTTGTTGAAGTATAAAATATATAAAAATTAGATGAGATACCGATTTAAAAATAATTATGTAGGACCATCAAAATAATTACATAGAACACTCAAGCGTTTATGATAATGCTGCAAAAAGTTTGAACATTCTAACAACTAGCTTCAGCATCAAATTTAATTGAAATGGCGCAACATAATTATTTTCACATCAATATCTGGCTATACTTATAAGCAGGAATACAAACGCAACGCGATATATTATATTAATACATACAAAATGTTTGTACTAAGATAAGAACAATGTAACTGTAGAATTAAGTTAAGCACAAATAAGAAAGTAATCTTACAGAAAAAGAAAAAGGAGGATTCAATTCATGACTTTAGAAAAATAATTAATGCAAATCTCATACGTCAGTTTTTCTTTTTTTATCAAGGAAAGGATGTTGTGAGCGACCAGAAATAGCGATTAAATTCAGCAATAGCGTATTTAGCAATAATCTAGTTCAATAGCAATTAAGAATAATAATAACGCGAAAGATAAATCAGCCCAAACCAGTTGTATGGTCGATATGGCGATATTCGAAATTGCATCAAAGTTCCGATACAGAGAACGCTGATTGCGGATTGGCGAAACCGACTCAGCAATGAACCCGCCGAAATAAAAAGCAAGAAAAGAGCACGAACACAGGAGTAGTCTCACGATCAAACACATACGAGTCATACTTGGCGTCAGCGCATAATAACTTAAAATTATTGTACAATTTTATATAAACTACAGTTTACTTAATAAATATTGATATAAAATAATAAGTGGAGATTTATTTGACTGACTTTCTGTGGAAGACGAACCCTTATACTTATACCGGCATGGCACAACACGTTGTCAATATCAACATCTTGTTTTCAAAGTCAAGTTTTTGTCTATAGTCACTTTTAATACATTTTACTTTAGTTTTTAACCGCTCGTTAACAATCCTGTTATCCAATATCCAAATTTTTGTATATTCAATGTTTAACGTTTACAACTTTAGACATCTTAATGCTTCAACAGAGTAAAAATTACTAGATCGTAAAATTTTATATAAAATTATGTCTTAGATAAAAGTTGCTTGTGTTGTATTAAAAAAAATCATTATTTTGCGTAAAAGTATTGAAGTCATTGAAAGATATGCTGAATATTTTATTTTTTACATAAAAGCACATATTAAAACACAATTATTTATTCTTCACTTTTCAATGATCTCACTTCAAGTTTTACATGCAAAATTTATACGAATTAATGTAATAAAAAATTATGTAAGAAAAATGATTCTAATTAAAGAAACAAAACTTATAATAAAACTGATCTTGAAATTTAAGATACTTTCTTATTCATTTACAATATTTGGAACAAAATTATGCTGACCACAGATTTTCGCCCTCGAAACAGACTATATTTAACAAACACTCTTTTGTTAATCACATCAATAATTCAGAAAGTATTCTGTTGTCATTTAAAATAAAATGTGCTGTACAATTCAATTTTTTGTTCTTTCTATTATAAAGTATTAGATGCGCGTATTCATTACTTTATTTGAATATCTTACAAGCATCTTTTGATAGCACTTCGTTCTTTTGTAAAAATGTTTCAATAATGTCAATAACTTTTTTATACTTTTTTCGAAACGTCTATTTTTTTGCTGCAAACATGTCAGTTTCTGCTGTAACATGGCATTGCGTGCGTTGGCTTCTTGTAATTGTTTTCGCAGCTTGTTGCAATTCTGTGAATTTTCTTCATCTATAGATATAACATTTTGTCTGAAAATATTAAAAATTTAAAATTTAAAAACTTTTCTTGCGTTTTTATAATACGTAGAGATGTTTGTTCTTTAAAATTAATTTTTAGTTATTGCTAGATATCAAGCATTGAATTTTTCTTGACGTTTACATTACATTTTATATATATATTTCTTGTAAAATTCGAAACTAGAAAAGGGACACGTTTATTAATTATGTGTTCGGTTAATATTTAATTTCATATAACCTTGTTTCACTAGATAAGTGTTGCGTTTCAGTTTGTGGTACAATAGTTCTAGAAGTGGATAATGTTTCGCAAGTTGCATCCGAATTATGAATCTCATCAGCTGTATCAGATTGTGTTGTCACTGTAGATGATACAGCCATAATAGTTGGATTAGCTTCATTCTCATGTTGTAAGTTTTCATAAATATCGTCGTTTTCATTTTCAGGGTAGGTTTCTAATCTTCGTCGCTACAGATGCAAAATTTTAAATAAATTTTTATTTATGCACATTATATTGCTATACACTTCTCAACAAAATTAATTAAAGAGTCACTTAAAATCAGCGCTGACAAGGACCAAATTCGAAGTCACGTATTTTCGCGAAAAATGATATTTGCAAAAGCATTTTAAAGCTTAAAGCCTTAGCTTTCAAAAGCTTCAAAGCACGTTTCTCTACAAATAAGATTTTATTACAAACAGCGCTGATTTAAAGTAAATCTTGCAAAATTGAGGAATAAACTTCAACTTTGATGTGCACAGGAAGAACAAAGTTTATTCTCTAATTTTTTTTTGTATTGTAAAACTTAATAATTTTTCTTTAAAATATTTGCTTAATTATTATACTACAATTTCTTCATTAAGTTATGATGATTTGAAGTGAGTAGTGCCTTTTCAGGTTTTATTTCTAAAAATCTATATATTCTGTCTCTGGGGTATTGTGTTGAATTATTTGCCATTAATCTGCAATCATTTTTCGTGAGGATACGTGACTTTGAATTTAGTTTTTTTTTTTAGCATTATTAATATTTACACAAACTATTATACACAATATAAATTTATATTATACATTAACATATTATTAAACAAATTGATAATTTTTTTGTCTTAAATACATACCGTTATATGAAATAGAGTTGGTATAGCTTCGGCCTTTAAAAGACGCTTTCCGTCTATAGATAAATAAAATGAATCGGTGGTAAAATGTTGACTGCAAATCTTCGCCGACAAAGGCGGTTTGAAGTTTCTTATTTTTGTCCCAATGGACTTCAGCCAAACTTCTCTTCTACCTTTATTTTTCGGGATTCTGAAATAAATAAAATGACTATAGCTGCCTTATTTAATATCACAAAAACTATTCCTTGAACAACAATTTTGATAACTACCACATTAAATAGATACATATGTAAACTCTAACTCAATGTACGACCAATTTTTCTTAATTTACATTAGCAACTACTGCTATATAATCTAATTAGTTATAAAAAAATAAATCGACTTGCTTATCAAATACACTTACCTATGGAAAGTTATAGCTGCCTGCAAATTATATGCTTCTCCACATATGTTACATGTATAAACCATGTTATAAATAATCAAAACTTAAACTATGCCACTGTTATTTTATATTGTTTGGAGTTATATTTCAGTTTCTTTATCTTGCCTTTATAATTTTTGTAAAACGTAATATTGTGGAACAATTAATACAAAGAATGTTTAATTATAAAACATTATTTTATACAGTTTCTAAAAAATACTAAACGAAAAGTAATGAGTATAAAATACGTTGATAATAACGTTGATAAAAGATTATCTCCTTTATTTAAATTAAATTCAAAATTAAAATTATTTCTCCTCGCTTATTTCTTTTGTAAGCTAATTCTTTCTGTACAGGTTTTCTCAGTTATGTCAAATTAGCTTTCTGACAGCAAACAACAACTACGAGATTCTAACCTAACGTAACCAACAAACCCAAACCAGCT